TATATACCATACATATATGATATATACTTATATAGTCCTGCTATATGCTGGACGATTAGACCGATCAAAGGTCGATTAATCGTCCTGATCGTCCTAATCGGTACCAGACCGATTAGGAACGATAAGCCGATCAGAAAACATTGCTTGACACACTTCTATCTAGTATAGTGGGTAAATAGCATAGCACTCACACAATTTATCTTGAACCAAGCATTATGAATACTTATTGACTTGACAAAGCAAACCATTGTTTTCAATTCTCGAATGACAGGATACGACACTGCAGAAAGTACACATCTAAACAATATGTCAGGGAGATCTAAGTGAAGGGATAACTCCTCTATGTGACCTATAAAAATAGGCAAACTATGTGAACACAACAAATTGAGTTATTCACACCACCACAATTTTTTCTTTTGAGTCATAGGTCCTGTTTGGATCCATTAGCTGCTAATAGTTCATAGCTAATATTAGCAGCTAACTAGTAGCTGCTATTAGCTGGTTTGATCTAACTAGTGAGATAGTTGTTAGTTTGGTATTCAGCTAACAATTAGCTACACCCGTTTGGATCCAAAGAGCTAATTATTAGCAGCTAACTATTAGCTCTATGGATCCAAATAGGGCCTTAATCTCCCTGATATGTATTTCCTTCGCTACTTTATTTTTACGGGGCAGTCACAAAAAGCTCATGATATAATAATTAACATACTAGCCTGAGAGTTAGTGATTACAGTTTCAAATATTTTTTTTCCTGCCACTCAAGCTCACTTTTCTCTCTAATCTGCAATCTTGAGCAGTCTAAAATGGTATAATGGCATAGGAACATAGACAATATATGACATGTCAACCACTTTCAAATATTTTTTTCCCTGCCACTCAAGCCCTCAATTTTCTCTCTAATCTGCAACCTTGAGCAGTCTAGCATGGTATAATGGCATAGGAACATAGACAATATATGACGTATGTCAACCACTAATACTCAACTCGCTTTTGTTATAATGTTCTCAGTAGAAAGAGGCCACAAGGCCCACCACGGGGAGTATGGTAGACTTCAGATTCCAAAATGACTAGTGACATGTTCTTGCAGTTCTCCCAATGTTTTTTAACAGACTACACTAAAGATATGTAGTAAGCAAATATCCCAAATCAACCAGCAGAAAACTCTGCACTGTTTTCCTTAAAACTGAAAAGCTCAGTGCCGAGATAAACAAGAATAGGAAAACTGATCATATTGGCAATCTGATCTAACGACACAGACAGCAAATCTGTACGACCCTGACAAAATCATGATACAAGTATACAGTAAGAAAAGGTGGTGAATTTGTTTGACACTGAAATCAAGAATAATCAAGGGTCTTACAGCTTTCTGGAAAAGATGAGCTTATATACATGCATAAATACAGGCATTATGGTGTCAAGGTTTGAAATGTCATGGCCTTGATATGCATCTTTTGGTCGAGGGAGGTTTGAGAGGACATCATGATCACGATATTCATCCATGTTTGATCTTTCACCCCAGCAAACAATAGATGTGACCTATATTGCAAACGATCTACCGGAACTTACAAAAAAAAGGAATAACAACAGAGGCGCCTAAACTAGCATTTGGTATGACAAAGAAATCCAAACGCGCTGTTGCCCAGGCAGTCGTACATCTAAGGTCATTTGAACTTCGCACAGCACGCGCCCCACCTTTAATTATTATACTACCAGAACACGTCAAAGGACTACGGGATTCCAAGAACAACTAATCTTGGAGAGGCCATCCCAATAATAAAAGCCACAAGAGAAGCACAACCCGAAACGGCTGCGTCTGGCAAAACAGTTTGCGCGGAACAGACGAAGGCCTAACAGGCTAGCACGCCAAGTCGCATATCAGGGTTGTGGGGAGGGCGCTCTTACCGCATATCTTGATGGGGGCCTCGAGCTCCAGGAGGTTGGGTTGTTGGAGGAACACATCCTTGGCGGCGGCGCAGAGGCGCCGGATCTCGGCGTCGGTCACCTGCGCGTTGCGCGGGGTGCGCCCGCCGCGGGCCTCGAGGAGCCGCCGGATCAAGTCGTCGACCGCCGCCTCGTCCATCGCCTCGCCGGGAAGGGAAGGGAAGGGAACGGGATCAGAGGGAAACCCTAGCTCAAGTTGCCGCCGCTCGCGGGTAAACCCTCGCTCAAGAGTGGAAGCTGCTAAACCCTAGCGGCTCGCTTAAAGCCTCTTTGCCGATCGACGGGGAGACGACACGGGAAGGGAGGAGCGTGTGAGCGTGTAGCGAAGAGGGGATAATTAACTTTTTTTTCCATTAGAATCTCAATAGCAGCTTTATGTTTAGCCCTACGCTTTTAGCAGCAGAGAAAGAAAAACAATACATATTTACCACTTGTGCTCGCGTGGCACGCCAACTCCACTATCCAGCTTCGAATCCGAGTCAGCAGGCTCAGGTAAAATGACCGTCTCTACCCCTGGCTTCTCCCTCCCCCATTACTAACACACGAGCCCCACAAGTCATATTCTTCTTCAACCTCCGGCCATCACCACACAGTGAGGAAGGGGAGCAGCTCGTGCAGTCCATGGGCAGCTAGCTAGTCAGGCACGAAATCGAAGCGTTCCAATTCAAATTCCCTTCTTAGCTGGCTGGTCTCCGAAATCGTTTTCGCTGCAAAAGCAAAAGGATTTATTTACTACGTCTTTCTAAATTTCCTGAACTGAACACTTGACGACAAGGCCGGAGGCATGGTGGCAGAGCTGCTGGTGCACAAGGTGCTCTCCATGGCGACGACATCGCCAAGGGCGGCGCCGAGGTGGCGGCCCCGGGCGACGCCAGGGTGGGCATCCTATCCTTCGAGGTGGCCAACGCAATGTCGCGGCAAACCTCCTCTATCGCCCCTCTCGACACACGGAGGCGCGCTACCGCTGCCGCCCGCTCGCCTCGGCTCACGCCGCGCAGGCGCGACTCGTGCCCGGGCGACGACGACGCGCCTCCTCGGCGCTCGCGGCCGAGAAGCTCGACGCAGCGCTCAACAGCGTGTGGCGTGGCGTGGCTCGCGCCTCGGCCGCCGGTGCGCGGCCCCGGCACTCATGGGCTTCGACCACGTCTACCCCGACCTCCTCGCCGTTCGCTCCGACGCAGCGCGTTCGCCGTCGCCTCTGCCTCCGACGCCGCGTCGCTCGTGCGTAGGCTCGCCCGCCTCGCTGCCGCCACCGCCGCGCTCTACGCCGAGCTTGAGGCGCTCACATGCGCCAGCCGCGCACCAACTGGAACCGCGCCGTGGCCGCGCTCTCCTGGGTCGCCGACGCGGCGCGCTGGATGGAGGACACCTGCTAGCGGACGGTGGTTAGGGAGTAGAGCGCGTGAAGCTACGCAGGTGCAGCATGCTGAACGCCGGCCTAGGGCGTGCGCCGTGCGCCATGCACAGTGCTTTGCTCTTGAGCCATAACATCATGATGATATCGTTCTTTTTTCCTTTGCAAAATAAAAAATAAATATCTTAAAAATACAAGTATACGTATCTCTGTCTGCGGCTATCCTGAGCCGTCCATCCTTTAATCTATGGCAATGAGGGGAGGGGCATGACTGACTTTTCGCATGGGGCTGCTGACTCGGATCCGAGCTGGACAGCGGAGCTGGCGTGCCACGGGAGCACAAGTGGTAAATATATATCGTTTTTCTCTCTCTGTTGCTAAAAGCGTAACGCCAAACCTAAAGTTACTATTTGAGGAGGCGCCATCCATTATAATGATAAAAAGTTAATTATCCCAGCGAAGAGGGGATGAGGGGATTGTGGATCGCTGGAAGTCGGCGGTTTATGTGATTGTTGCCTGAGTCCTCCACGGACTGCGGGACAAGGCGTGTAATTTGGGCTGCCGTGGAGGTTGGGTCGAGTTAGGTTTGGGCTGGGCCGACGATGTCAGCCTGCTTTATTTGAAAATTAGAGGCGGTGCCACGGTGGTGGACTGCAGGACTGATTGGTGCCTAGTAGTCTCTAGGCTTTCAGCCTTTCTACATGTTTTGGGCCACCGTTACAAAAGCCCTATCCGGCCCTTTCGTGACTGCGCCCTGAAAGATCCCTAGCCCCTCCCGTTCCTCATTCACGCCACCTCTCACACGCGCACTCGTGGCTCGTGCAGGCAAGGGGCCGCCGCCGCTCAGCGCTGAGAGGACCAGCGCCGTCACTCAGCGGCCGCCGGCGATGAGCCTCCACGGAAGCCAGTGGCCCTACCAGTGAGGCGGCGAGTTCTTCCTTCTCCACCGACAGGCCAACGTGTGGATCCGACGACCTCTGGGCTCTGGCGAGGCGGCAACGACGAGTGGTGACTGCTGATAGGTGGTGAGTTTATTTGCCTTAGCCCTTCCTTAGTTTTTTTATTAAGTCCACTTTTGGCCTCTCAACTATTGTGTTCGTCTGATTTTAACCCCCAACTATAAAACCGTCTGGTGTTGGTACCCTAACTGTCAAAACCGTTCACTTTTAGCACCTGGGCGCGGAAGAGGTGGTTTTGTCCGGCGTGGAACGGGTTTGACCATGCCACGCTGACACTGACCGCCACGTAGGACGTTGGCCTGCATCTCAGTGACATGTGGGGCCCGCGCGTCACCCACTCATTCCCTCCCCTCCCTCCTCTAGCTCCAGCAGCATGATGGCCGCCGGTTGAGCAGGCGGCCGCGCCATGGCCGACGAGAGGGACGCCGTGGTGCTGCCTCCACTGGCTACCCCCGGTGGAGGCGCCCGTGGCCTGTGGCCCTTGTCCCTACGGTGATGCGTGGCAGAACCCTAGCAGCATCCCATCGAAGGAGCATCCCCTCTAGCAGCGGGTAGCTGAAAGCGCCGCGCCGTAGCACATGAGGAACAACTGCGGGAGCAGTTCGACGGTGAATTGGAAGTCGCCCCACGACGTCTTCTTCCAGGTGCCGCCCATGATGGCCGCGGCGTTGAGCACAGAGAGCGTGGTGGCTGGGAGCAGCAGGGTGGAGCAGCCCATGAAGTCAAACGCCACGGAGGAGGCAGAGCTATAGCAGGGTGGCGTAGCAGAGCACCAAAACGGCGTAGAGCGCGGCGAAGCCGAAGTAGGCGTAGCCCATGTCCTCAAGCAGGGAGGCACGGAGGAGCGAGCGGCAGGCGAGCGGGGAGTGCCTCCTAGAGACGCCGACGGTGAGCATCTCGGACATCCAACGCTTGTTCTGGACCAGCACGTCGTTGAGGTTGATGGGCACGCTGCCTAGGAACACTGGCCGTGGCTCCGGGTAGCAGTAGGCGGACGTCCAGCCCCGCCAGAAGAAGCGTTGGTACCCTGTGAAGTAGTCCTCCACCACCGACTGGTATAGGAAGCCAACGCTGGTGCCCTAGGTTGTGCCCACCTCGTACGCACAGGAGGCCACCAGCGCTAGGGTTGAGATGATCCAGGCTCGGTTGCCGTGCGCCGCCGTGAACCGGAGGCGGTGTCAGCGTCCGTAGCCTGCTCGAGCGCCACCACCGTGCTCGCGCGTCGCCGCCGCCGCCGCCTGCTCGCGTACCGCCATGCTGCTTGCGCGCTGCCGCCGTAGCCTGCTCACCGCCGGTGATATGAGGAAAGAGAGGGACCAACGTGGCACGGTCAACGCCAGCTTGGCATGGTTAAAACCGCCCCACGTCTGACAAAACAGCCACACCCGCGATGAGATACTAAAAGTGAATGGTTTTGACAGTTAGGGTACCAACACTAGACGGTTTTATAGTTGGGGGTTAAAATCAGACGAACCTGATAGTTGAGGGGCCAAAAGTGAACTTAATCCTTTTTTTTCTTAGTTTATTTGACTCCATTTCTTCTTATGAGAGCTGCTGTATTTTGAGTGCAGCTAGAGCCTCCCGGTCGACCATTGCCCAGATCAGATTCCCCCCCTCTCCCCCTTCCCCACCCCCTATCAAAAAGAAACAAAGATTGGGCTGTAGTTTACAGAGGCCCAGCGTCCTGTAGCCTCATCTCCCCGTCTCGCTCTAGGTCTAGGCAACCTGCACCAGAAACCCCGCGCAGCAGCCAGCCCAAAGGAGACACACCGCCGGCCGGAAAAAGGGGAACCCCAAACAAGCGAGGCGCGGTTAGAATGTGTGTGGTTACTGGGTTGGAGGGGGTTGGAACGGGTCGGACCCCCTTCGTCCCACGTTTGGTTGTAAAGAGAACTGGGTTGGGTTGAACCCACATGGGTATATAGATATCTCCTCTAGCCCCAGCCGTCCGCCGCCTCTCCCTCCCACAGCTCGGCCTCCGCCGCCTCCTGCTCCTTCCTCAGTACCCCCACCTCGCAATCCACTGCCACCTCGCCCCTAAAACCCTAGCTAAACCCAAGCCGAAAGAAACAATGGCTCTCCTCGCCTGAGCGCGCTCGCGCCCGCCCCTTGCTGGCCATGGCGCTCTAGCTCCGCCACCTCCTGCCTCACGGCTACGCCCAGTGACACCGCGCCGTCACCCACGCGCTATTGCTGCCGCCGCTGCCGCCACCGCTCACAATGGTGAGTGGCTCTCTGTCCTCGTCATTTTGATGATAATTTATCACGTCCGAAAGTGTCTGGGGTGCATGTGGTGCGGCGTGAACACTACCTGTTCGTTGTATTGCCCGTGAGCCACAGACAAAGCCTCGTTCCTTTTTTCTTTCAAAAAAAAGGTGGCTTTGCGAAACAGCAAGGTTCTGTGGGGAGCTATGCCATGGCGCATATCAATATATTATTATTCCCTGGTTACAGAGAAAGACATCCTTTGCCATTGCACTAACAATGTGCATTTCTGGTTTGCAAGGAATAAAACATACCAGATACCATCAACCACCATTGCGTCAATCACCTTATTTTTCTTTTGTTTCATCCACTTATCCTTAAAGAAGTATTCAACTAAGAACATTTATTGAATTTGGGGGTTTAGGTTAAAATGAAGCGCCTATTTTTGCGTTTGATGGGGAATGCATATGAACATAATAATGACTTTTGCCCTTTGCGTTTTGTTATTTTTCTTTTTCATGTGATCATGAGAATAGGAGGGAATGATTTTTTTCATGATTCTACCTGACTTGGGGCTTTTGGTGGATTTTAACTCTAGCCTACTCCAACTTGTTTGGGACTAAAAGGCTATGTTGTTGTTGTTGTTGTTGTTGTTGTTGTTGTACCTATTATAATTTGGTATAATATTTCATTTGAGTTGTGCTTGTTTTTATGTGTTGTCTATTTGTTTCCTTTACAGCTTCAATTCGGGGTGTTTCAGAGATATTCTTCCGCACCCTGGCCGTTTTCACCTTTCCGCCCTTGTGAAATGTGTGGGGTTGCATTCAGGAGCAATTCAACAAGGAAAATATGTTCAAGAAATAATTTTGGGGTTGTCTTACAGCCCAAAAGTAGTGCTTTTTTTTACTCTGGGCTCTTTGGCAACTGTAGTTCTGTATGTTTCAGAGCCACAGACAGCCGTGGAATTGCTTTAAAGGTTAATAATATGGGTAATCCACGACCATTCTCAACTACGTACAGTAAAAAGCTAAGGTTTCTTATTAAAAATACGACTTCATTCAGTAATCTAAATATGAGAAGGGAAGACGGAAGTGTTGCACATAGTTTGTTTCATAGATCTGAGAAACGGCAAAGCACATTAGCTACGTGTAGCACCACTGCTGACGAGGCTTCAACTTCTACTAGTAACAGCAGCAAGAGTGTTACTGATACTAAGACTGACACTGCCAAGAGGAAGAGTTCAAGAGGAAGCAAAAAGGAAGTTGATGGAGATATGAAAGAAAAGGAAGCACATACCAAGAAAAAGAGGATATCTGCTAGAACTCGTAAAGCTGCAACAAAGACGACTGAGAGTACTAGTGCGAACCAAGAAAACAAGAAGCCTGATAATTGTATATCGAAAAAGGGTGCTGATAGTTCTAAAGAGAAAAAAAGTGAATAATAGGTCAAAGTCAAAAGCAAAGGTTTCTGCTGCTTCTTCTGTACCTTCTGAAGCTGAGATTTGTATGAAATCCTCTATTGATGGTTCTGGTATTGAAAAAAAGCCACTGGTACCATTGTATCCTCCCAGAGCCAAATCAGTCGTTGTTGTGGAATCAGCCACGAAAGCAAAAGTCATTCAGAATTACCTTGGGGACATGTATGAAGTGTTACCAAGCTATGGTCATGTGAGAGATTTAGCAGGTAGATCAAAATCTGTCCGCCCTGATGATGACTTCAGCATGGTCTGGGAGGTGCCTGCTGCTGCCTTGACACACCTTAATCTCCTATAACTAAAAAGAACAAAGTGTGGATATTTTTTTTCGACATTTGTTTTGGTTCGTCCGTCTGTCCACGCCTGTGATCCCCGCCTGCTTTGAAGGAAACAAATCGATCACCTGAGGCCACATACATGGAAGGAAACAATAATCATGCACCGCACGATAAAAAAGAAACTTCCATCCCCGCCTGCTTTGAAGGAAACAAATCGATCACCTGAGACCACATGCATGGAAGGAAACAATAATCATGCATGGAAAGAAACAATCATGCGGTGCCCATCTCTCGCTCGGTCAGATATCTTTTATCTCCACGTAAACCGGATCATATGGTATTGTCCATAATTTGGAGGGTATTAAATTTAGGCTGGGTGCATAGTAGGCCACCTAGCTTTATTCTTGCAACTTCTACCTCTTTATGTGTTAGTCTTTGTCAATGGTATAATTTATTTGCAAAGCTCAAGCAAGACAATTGGCAAAGATCAAGCAAGATGACTCAATGAGGCTGGCCCTTAATTTTAGTGTTTCCGGCATGCAGACCTGAAATAAAAAAGTGGCTGCTCCTTGAGAACATCAGTGGTGCCAAATAAAAGATGTGCATGTTATATATGGTGAGACTGGTGAACCTTCTGCAATTTCCTAAACGAATATTTCCACCATTAGTATATAGGTCCATTCCCCTACGTTTCTTCATGCTCCCATTAGCATATAATATGAAAGTATTATTGTGTTCATCACGACTTCCAGTTGACTACTCCCATTAGCATATGCTTTCTCTGCCCTAAAATATAAGTCGTTATGGGATGCGTGCAGGTCAAACTTTCTCAACTTTGACTAGGTTTGTAAAAAATACGTGCAACATTTATATCTCCAAATAAGTTTATTATGAAAATATATTCAATGATCTATGTAATGATACTAATTATGTATTATAAATATTAATATTCTTTTATATATAATTAGTCGAAGTTAAAAAAAGTTGACTTCTCGGAAAGCGAGAATGAATTTTATTTTGGGACAGAGGGAATATATGAAAGCAGTGTTGAAAATATTTTAACAATCAAGTTTGTCTCTGTCTGATTGGTAAGCTTAGACATCATAATGCCATCAAAAATTTTAACTCTCATGAACACCCTCATGGATTAGTGCAAAGCATCCTAATCCTACAGCATACACAAATGACAACCTTAAAGTTATGATATTTTCAAAGGGTGGACAATAAAGACCATCTTAGACGTTCTAGCATTAGAGTATATACGTGCAGGCACATAGGCATGGTGGTGCAAGTGAGCAGCCAGTAGGAGTCGAGAGTTAGGGGGTGTTTGGATCCCATGACTAAACTTTAGTCCCTGTCACATTTAATTTTTAGATATCAATTAGAAGGACTAAATATGAGCTAATTATAAACCTAATTACATAATTTGTGGCTAATTCGCTTACCAGCGCCGTGTACAGGATGGTATAGAGATGTGGTGGAACTTATTCGTGGATTTGTTGGCGCACGAAAGAAATGGATATCGGAAATCTCTTCCTGCCGGTATAAAAATGATCTTAGTCGTATCACGGAAATATCTACACAGTAGAGTTTGTGAGCCTGCGATGCCACGCTCTCTGTGACTATGTAAATTTCACGAACTTAGCTTTTTGGATTAAATGTCACTTTAACATCGGTCATATACTTTTACAGTATTGTTATCTTATCGTGCGATCCGTGTGTTTTTAGTATAAAAGTTTAGCTGTCCCATAGCAACGCACGGGCACGAACCTATTTGCATATATACTCGAACCTATGTGTACATGATTATATAGAGATGCAGCGAAACTTATTCATAAATTTATTGGCGCATGAAAGAAATGGATATCATAGAATTCTTTTTGCCGATATAAAATATTATCTTAGCCGTATCACGAAAAAGTTTATACAGTAGAGTTTGTGAGCCTGCGACGTCACGCTCTCCGTGACTGTGTTAATTTCATGAACTTTGCTTTTTGAATTAAATGTCACTTTGACGCCGGTATTTAATTTAACAGTATTATTATCTTATCGTGCGATCCGTGTATTTTTAGTACAAAAGATTTAGTTGTCCCGTAGCAACGCACGGACGTGCTACCTATAAGAGCATTAAAGTTGCACCGAAAGGGTATGCTTTTTGTAGCGTGTGACAGCTATAAGACTTGCCTTTATCTACTTAGGATACTTATCTAGAGTAGTTGGCGGCTATGTCAGACCTTATCTTTATTCCTAGCATTTACTTTAGCATCTGTAGAATATGTTGTAGCTTTTCTTAAGGCTC